AATATACTTATGGGAAACAACTGAAACAGAACTAAATCCATATTGGGAACTGAGGCTTGATGAAGGTTGCAAATGGACACTAGAGGGAACTAAAGAACTAGGCAGAAAAGAGTTAAAATGGCTAAGCCAGCTATAACTTTTTCTTATCTTAAAGAGTTGTTTACATGGCCTGAAATATTAATAACTAATATCTCAGAAAGGATACAGATTTCAAAGGATAAACTTTTAGACGACGATGAGAAAAACTTTAAAAACTTTTACCTGGCATAGACATTAGAGAGTCTGAAGGCATGGTAGATAACAAAATTGAGATTACCGAAATGGGAATACAAAAGAAAAAAAAAAAAGATCCAGACATGGAACAGTTGCGACAAGAAATCCTGGATGAGGCCTTTTTATGAGATTTACAAAGTAGGCTGGTGAAAGCTTTGAAGACTTCTTTTAAATACCAAAGAGCAATGAAAGATCAAATCCTGCTATGCCATAGGAATGATTTAAAATTCAAGATTGTACAGAGGAAAAAGAAGGAATATAAAGTTGGACTATTTGACCAGGGATAAACTATTTGTTTGATATTTCTGGTAACTCCTAATGGAATTTTTGCTGAACTAGGATTGAAAAGATGATGATTCTGGATTGCATATAGACTTTATTTATTTTATGTGTTGATCATATTTATATAGCCTCATCTCACAAAAAAGTGACTCTGGGCAGCGTACAACACTCAATTTAAAAAGCCATAAATACATATAAAACAATCACTTAGACTATAAAAACTATAAAAACACACACAACAGGAGAGGATGATGCTAACCATAGTAAGGGAGCCATCACAACATCTCCCCCATCCCCTGGGACTCCCAGGCCTGATCACATAGCCAGGTCTTGATGGACTTGCGGAATGTTAAGAGGGATGGGGCTAATCTCACTTGGGGGGGAAGATTCTACAAGGCAGGGGCCATAGCAGAGAAGGCCCGCCTCCTGGGACCCACCAAATGGAATTCCCTGGTGGGTGGGACCCGCAACATGCCTCCTCTGTCAGACCTGATGAGATGGACAGATGTAATCGGGAAGAGGTGGCCCCTCAAATAATGAAGGACTTTAAAGGTCAAAACCAGCACCTTCAATTGGACCTGGAAGCAAACTGACAACCAATACAGCTCGCAGAGCAGAGGTGTAACATGGGCCCTTCTTGTGATGGAATGGAATTATGAAGGCCAAGCTCAGGGAGATAAACATTTTGATTGATGTCAG